TTTAATCTTAAGACAATTCTCATGGAGTTCGGAAATGTAGCTCGCAAAGTTCACTCACAAACCACAAGAAGATTGTGGGCGTAAGAATTACGGGTGCGAGGAGCAGCTTCCTAAATTCTTAATTTGTGTCCACATGGAAATTAATTTGAAGTTGGTGGTAAATTTGTTCTGTCCAAATTTGAAGGCATGGGAAAAACTCACTTTTGCATTTTGTGAACATTCAGGAAGTAGTAATGATTCTGAAATTTCTCGTCACAACACGTATTGTCACTATAGAAGTAAGTAAGCTATCGTGAAAAGTAAGCCACACATGACATTTCGATCTGATCCCAAACGCAAGTCGCATCATTTTATTACGAGCCCGAAAATTACTAAGATCTTAAGCAGGTTAAGTGTTCCTTTATCGTCAAAAGTTATAAAATTACTAAGATCTTAAGCAGGTTAAGTGGTCCTTTATCGTCAAAAGTTGAATCGAGATACGGGTTTTTTCCTGCACGATCACATTCCAGGCACGCAAGGCAAGCGAAGAGCTGTGACGACGTACACTCCCCACAACAGCTCATAGGCAACTGAAGTGAGCTAGTGAATGAGCCGTGAATCGTCGTTCCCGTCCTGCGGCACCCAAGTCCCAACGCAACTCAACGGACTCAGATGTTTCCTGGCTAAACTTGGGACACGGAGCCTCCCTGATCATACAGAGATACCGACATTGACAAGGTTAAATTCCAGTTTAGAATTTCAAATGAATCATACTTAATTGGGGCAGTGGCTTGAACAGGCATCGCTGGAACATATTATGGAGACGGTTTTGCTTGCGAGTAATTCAATTTATCTGTAGCATATTATCAAGTCCGTAGCATCGTAGCAGAAAGCAATACCATGTAGTGCGTGGTAAGACAATAGGCAAGACAGACGTGTATAATTTCCTGAGCAAATAATAAGAAGCAAGACGACCTCGACAAGCTGCGGATCAAACGCTTCACGCAGCCCCAAGGTCGGCCTTGATTAAATAATGCGTGTTTTCCTAGTAACAGGTTAACTCTGGTAACACGTAAATAAAATACAGTCAGTATTCGTAAATATACAGTCAGTAAATAAAAATACAGTCAGTATAATACAGTCGTGCCCGAAAAAATTGTTCCAGAGAATCGAAAGTAGGCAATAACGGCACAAAGTTCGTTCCAGAGGGCCACGTTAATTAGAATAATAATTAAAAGGCAGGCCGCTGCGTGTGGTAGCGCGGGCGGTCAGGTGGCGGTAATTACGTCTACGTTACAAGAGGACAGGAAGACTGAACGCGAGAAAGACGATAACGAGACGAAGGTGACCCTGTTGAGAACGCAGGTGGTGACCGTCATTGAAATCACTGTCACAATGAAGCTCATTGCAAAATTTTCGATCCTCGCATATCTTCATCGCATGAAACGAACTGACCGTGTCCGTTAGACCGGCGATCTTAATATAAATTGCGATGGTGGTAGAACTTACGATCGTCGTGGAACACACGATAATAATAGAACATAAGATAATCGTAGAGCCTACGATCATCGTAGAGCCGACGATCATCGTAGAGCCAACGATCGTCGTAGAACCTACGATCATCGTAAAGCCTGCGATCATCGTAGGAATGGGCGGGAAGGCATGTCAGGTCACGGCATGGGAAAGTGTCTCGCTCCTCTCTTACTTTCGAACGGAATAGCAAAAAAGAAAGATGTCTGTGTATGCACAAAGGAGTTGCAGTAAAAGTGATGCGACAAGACATGGCATAACCTGAGGATACGACAGGCACTTACGTCAGCAGTATATGTTCCGTATGGTCAGCCGTAACGCTGCGTTATATCATTGTTAACCAAAATGCAAAATAAAATAACTTCCTGCGTGTTAAATCTAATCAAATACTATAGGATGAAAAACACTATAACTTTCTTATCGCACCTTCATCAATGATATAAACCGTGCATGACTGGTAGTGGAAATGAGGACGTCGAATAAATTGTATAGGCAGTTAATTTCACGCAAACTGTTTCAAAAATAAAAGCCTAAAAATTTAAGTCGAGGATAAAGTTGTGGCAAAAACTTCATCGAAGTGATTCATTTGTTACAGGGTGAGTGAATCTGTACCGGTCATCAAGGGTTACATTACATTACATTTGTAACCACACCAAGTTCAATTGTAACGTTGTAAAATTATTCAGACTGACGAGGGTTAGTGAGCATCGCAGTATTAAAGTGAAGATGAATGAGTCAGCATCGGTAATATAACGATTAAATTAAGACTCTGATAATCCTAGCACATGAATTCAGACATGAATAAGAAGTATGCATGGGTACTGAAAAATTCATGTTTGAAAAAGTGTACGCATCTGGGGCAGGTGCAGTCAGGAGTGAATAATAATTAATTCAGTTACGCATAACTTTAGACGCTATAATGATAATTCAGTTACGCATAACTTTAGACGCTTTAATGATAATTAAGGTACGTATAACTTTAGACGCTTTAATGATAATTAAGGTACGTATAACTTTAGACGCTTTAATGATAATTCAGTTACCTATAACTTTAGACGCTTTAATTATAATTCAGGTACATATAATTTTAGACGCTTCAATGATAGTTCAGGTAGACTTTAGAGGCCGCATGTTGGCATGGAAAGTATAAGGTTGACAGCCAAGTCAGGTCCGTGCAGTATTATAAATTAGAAGGTTAACGCCTAAGGCATAAAGAGCTCGGAGCGCCACGCAGATCATGACCAGGAAGCATGGCGCGTGTCAAGGATGTCCGCGAGATTTTAACTACAGCGTCTTAGGGGTAATCTATTTTAATATAACTACGACACCTCCTGCACTATCCTCATTAAGGTGCAGCTGTTAATTAAGTTTATTACTTCGTGAGGAGGACGAAAAATTTATGGCATCGTCACGACTTTAATGCTTGACGATCGCTCCGCCGAGGCTCGAGCGCTGATTGTTGCGTCCCGTGGGGCGACGTAAAAAATATCTCAAATGTTTATGAAATGAAGCACCCTCAAATGATGCATAATGAGGCAGGGAGAACAAGCATGATATTGTTAGTAGGATTGTTATACAGCTTAATGTGGAGGTAATACGAGACTACTAGAAGCACAATAAAATCCTAATAAGGATTTCATTGGGCATCAACACATGCACTGGCGTGCATTGATGAGGGAACCAATACATTAATATATCACAACAGGACCACAAATAGACTCTAATTAAGTATAAAAGAAGTGTGAAAGAAGCAAAATAAGATCTTAATAGGGATAAAATACGGGCATAATAAAAGTACAATTAGATTCAAATAAGAACATGGTAGAAGCGCTATAAAGCACAAAAATATTCTAATAAGTTCATAATAGGAGCTTAAAAGGAGCATGAAAATATAATAAAAAAATGCTCACCTGAGACGCGTGGATAGATGGTAGCTTGTACTTCACGAGGGGAGAGTGTCCGGAGGGGGGGGAGAGTGCCCTCGCTTCATGGGGGGAGAGTGCCCTCGCTTCATGGGGGGAGAGTGCTCTCGCTTCATGGGGGGAGAGTGCCCTCGCTTCATGGGGAGAGAGTGCCCTCGCTTCATGAGGGGAGAGTGCCCTCGCTTCATGAGGGGATGGGGGAGAGTGCCCTCGCTTCATGGGGGGAGAGTGCCCTCGCTTCATGGGGGGATAGTGCTCTCGCTTCATGGGGGGAGAGTGCCCTCGCTTCATGGGGAGAGAGTGCCCTCGCTTCATGAGGGGAGAGTGCCCTCGCTTCATGAGGGGAGAGTGCCCTCGCTTCATGGGGGGAGAGTGCATTCGCTGACCAGCGAGGGCTGCCTCGCGCTCCCGTGTCACGAAGCATGCTTGTTTGCCTCCGTTTCTTTTATTCAATCACAGTATGGATGATATTCGGAAATTGGTTCTTACAGGATTTAATTCATCTTACTCGGCGCTCGAAGTATTTCAGAGAATGTGTGAAGGCTTTTCAGTAAATGTTTGGCGTTAAAGTTTTTCTTCAAAACATTCAGTGCTTTTATTAATTGTGAATCAAGGTAGGTAATGAATACGGGAGCATCGAGCACATGAAAGAAGAATTTAATCAAAAAATTCGGGAGATGTTTGGCTCTTCAATGTTTATTCGTGGAAATGAGCAACAATCTCCATACTCTCCGGCGGAGAGATTCATCAGCTGGTCTTGATGAGGGATTCAACAGCTGCGCTGGCATGCATTGATGGGGGCATCAATGCATCTAATATATCGACACATCAAGTTGTTCTCTGCGCACCCGCGGTCAGCGTTTGGGGCTCCGCTTATCCCGACGGATTACCGATCAGCTATATATATGAGATACCCAAGTTCTCAATACTTGCTCTAGTATCAGATTTGTACCACCAAAAAATAATACGAGCATTTTCTCTCGTTTTCCGATCAATCGAACAAAGTTTATAAAATGGGCAAAATTGTATTAAGAAGAAAATTAAGAACTTTGCACACAGGAAGAAACCAACAAAACAAAAACACGAAACAAACATAAGCAATTTAGTTATCTCGGTTCTCACCTCCGAGATAAGACTTATTCCGCTTAAGACAACTGGTTACTATTATTGTAATTCTATTCTTACCAAAACAGTCTTCGACTTAGTCCGTAGAAGTCAAATGAAGCTTGACTGTAAGGGATTTTGCAGGACGCGTTGCCAAGACCCAACAAAATAGTACAACCCACCTGGACGCGGAGTCTCAGTGTCGTTTCCAACTACGAGTAGTACTTGTGATGAGTACAAGAGTGCAGTGGCTGCATTATTAGAGGAAGTCAAATATAATGGCAGGAGATATAAATGAAATGATGAGGAAATAAATAATGTGAATGTGCCGTTGATAGGTAGATATTAAGTGCCCTAGAACGATGATGATCTCTGCTATTTTTTAATTTAGAAAACAATAATGTGCGATGTCCTTAATTTAACAATTTTCTAATGACTTGAATAATTAGTGGATGAAGTACTTACGGTAACGGCGCCTGTATCTGCCGACCTCTCTCTCAGCCCTTTGCCTGGCGTCAAGTTTGTACTTCTGTTTCCTGGACGGCCTCATCTTGCTCCTCACGACGCACTCGGCCACGTAGGCTTCGTTCTCAGCGCCGTCGAACTCGAACGCCCCGTACAAAGCATCGGTCACGCCGGCTTGTTTGCGTTGTGGACTGCCGACAACGCCGGTCTTCTCGGTCTTAGTGCGACTTCTGGCAGATGTCGCGTTTCTGGAGTCGTTTGTGTGGCTCGGTGCCCGGTTTAGCTGGGCCTGCGCGGGTTTACTTTTGTTCCCGATCGCCGCGGAATCGGAGGACGTTTGTCGGTTTGCGGCGTGCGGCGCGTAGTTTTGATTAGTCACAAGCGTGTCGGTGGTCGCTGACACGTCGCGCACGCCCTGGCTCCAAGTTTTCCGCCAGCCTCGTGGTTGCGCGGCCCAGCGGTGAGTCCGGATTGGTACACGAACCCTTAAAAGAACTCATATTGCATTCAAAACGTATTTGTAGGAAAATTTCACAACTTTGAGCCACGTTCTCGCAGCTTAAATGGGGTCATGTATTTTCAGTATAAAGAATGTAAAGAAAGCCACACTTACAATAAAAAAATAGATTACGGTATTATGAATGCTTTAAATTACTCTGCGTCAAATGATGTTTTTGCATATATTCTAAGCCATTGTTCCTTTTTGACAATCATTCATAACCAAATTTTTACTGGAATGCAATACCTGCTATATTTCCGCGCACATTTACAATGTTGTGTCTAAGCGAATTACCAATCTATCCATCATGAGAACAATCAATTAAACGTGACACCATAATTCAATACAAAAGGATTAACTCAGCAAACGATTAAATCTGGAGACAACATTCCTAAAATCAGTGTCGAAAAAAGGCAGTAAAGTTCAGGGCAGTGTTGCTGTAGCCTCAAGAATGCCAGCTCAAGTCACGTCCACTGTTCCTGATTTGTAAGCAAAAGCGATTGCGCTCAACATCAGCAGGTAAGCAGTCTCCGAATCAAGCGTCTACGGTACATCAGGCAACAGGCATGCAGCATAAGGAAGACATGTTATTTTCAAGTTCTTATTGAGAGGGAAGTGCATTAAAAAACTTTATTTTAGAAATAAGTAAACTGAGCTGGTTTGATTCACACACTATTGAATCTAAATTAGTGGCTTACAAGCGTTGTCCTCGTCCAGATGGCGAACATGGGCAGTCTTCATCACTGTCGTCGTCAGACAAATCTTCCCACTCATCTTGGTCCGAGTAAACCGCGTCCTCCACAGCATTCTCCGAGCAAACGTCGCCGTAGAAAGCTTCATTAGTTCCTCTGCTGTTAGTGTCATGAGGATCGGGATCGTACCCGTAAGTGTGGAATCCAACTGGCAGAGGCGGACAGTCAGAAAGTGACAATCTTGGTTTCCGGGACTTTTTAATCTCGGTAACCGGTTGAGTGAACTCGACACCACCAGCGGCGCAGTAAAGATCGTTGCTAACGGCATTCGTGCCGTAAATACCATCGTTCATCTCGATCGTCAGGGGCTCCATATCAGTTACGTTAGTTCCGTCCAAGGGCAAGTCTTCCTCATTCGCAAGAAGAGATGAATCCGGAGCGGTTTGACATGATGCCTTCTTTGCAGCCTCTTTTTCAGAGCTTTTTTGCTTTCTGAGCTTACCTAACTCCCGGATTTTTCGACTCATGAAACCCAGTCGACTTTCTTTCACTTCATCGTTGTTTTTCAGAAACTTTTTCTTTTTCTCAGACGACTGCGAAGCCGATTCATCGTCCCGGGCGAGTGCAGCCTCCATCTTGGACCGCGTGAAGTAGCGGGAGGAATACGCCGAGTGGTACGACGATGCAGACGACCGCAGGGAGTCGCGGAGCCCCAGCGCCGGTGTTTCATCCAGTAGGGTTGGCGGTTGTACCGGTTGCACCGGTTGAAACGGTTGCATTTGTGATTGCGGTTGTGCCGGTTGCAGCGGTTGTACCGGTGTGAGTGGTTGAGTCTCGCTTCCGTGCATCGGGCTGATTCCTGCAGCGGGCTCACAAATTGAATTGATCGCAGTGCTCGGAGATGTCGTGGCCCCTGCGGGAAGGAACAACGTGAAACTTAGAGACATTCAGAAGCACGGCGTGCTAAGAGTGAATGGTAGAATCTATGATGCTTGGAGTATAAGGTTAGCAATAACGAGAAATTGTTATACTGAGGATCTGAAAGCAAAAATTCACACCTGCATTCATGAATACGTTGATAATAAAGAAAAGACAAAGAATACGACTAGGCAGGCATCGAAAATTAGCGGAATTTGTTCAGCAAAATGAAAGAAAAAAATATGATGATTGCTCCTACACTTTGGACTGAAATTATCAACTGTGATGTACTCGGCACAAATTTTTGGCAACTTGATACACGATTCGCCGCACTTATTAAATATATTATATTGGTATTATTATTTGTAGTAGTCCTCGGTTGACTGAAGCTTTCAGTGTCTATACACAGAAAACAAATAATTTGAATTTTTGCTCCCGTATCGTCTCTTATATTGATCCTAATTAATTTTTGATGAGACACAACAGATACCTTGACTGATGGCAATAGGTGACTGGGGCGTGGAAGCATTATCGGCCTGCTGTTGTGGGTCGAACTGGCGTGCGTCAGTCGCGTTGCCAACATGAGTGAGGGAGTACGAGAAAACTTCATGTGCATCCTCAACCTCTTCTTCATCGTCTGAGCCTGCGTCATAAGAAAATAATTAGAAATAATAACCAAGTGTCTTGAATGCAATTGACAGAAGAGTGTCATTTGCACAAAATTGTACCCATTAGACTGCTTACTTATTACTTAAATGTGGTTAATGATTTAACGTTGAGATGGTAAAAAGAAATTCTGAAAGATATTCGGGAATAGTAGTTTCTTTCATCGATAGGTATTAATTTTCGTGATAAATTACTGCAGTACATAATCTCATGATCGTTGCTGGGATAATTTTATCTTTTTGATTTGTTGATTCGGCAATTAAAAATGCCCGGTTGAAGATGCCTAGCAGTTCTAAATGACTCATTGGCACCAATTACATATGACGTCCAAATCAGATACATTATGGGCTGAACAAAGTTTTGTTAAATCCGTTAAGCAAGGATAAATATGTAGGTTGTAATTAACATGTTCTTAATGAATGAAAAGTTTATCTGAAAGCCGCACTATTAATTGGAATTACCTTCGAGAATTTCACCCTCTAGCTTGGGACTGTTTTCGGGCTCAGGAACTTCAGGAATGCTGGAAATGACGAGCGGTGTCGGCACCGTTACACTTGTTAGCCCAGGTGGACTGACAGGCTCGTAGGAGTGCGATGTTTGTGACATATTGTAGGTTATGTCATCATACAGGTAGCTGATGGAATCCAACTGGTCTTCTCTGACCACCGCCAGTTGAGCCGTTATAACTCCACCATCGCATTCGTCATATTGGCTAGACTCGGACCGAGCAGGAGGAGGATTGACCGGATCATATCCGCCGCCCGAAGATGGAGCCTTGATGGAATCATACCCAACACTTGAAGGTGCCCTTACGTCATCGTAACTACACGAAGATGACATCCGAACATCGTCGTAGCTCATTGCACTGAAACCACCGATTTCATCGTAGGCAGCGTTGGTGTGCGAATCGTCGCTGGTGCCGGCGTTTTGGAGTTCGGAATAGTTAGGACTCTCGTCCGATCGGAGGCGCATTCGGGGTAGAGACAAATCCCGTCTGATACGAGGCTGCCCGAACGATTTAATACCCGTAATTTTGCTGAAAGGTTGTCTTTCGTGAGTTTCGTTTTTAGCTGGCGTATCCCCAAAGCTGTGAGTCACTGATTTCCCGTCATTCCACAAGAACGAAGAATTTGGAACAATTCCGCGCTCTTCAAGCCTTGCGCGATTCTCTTTTATCTTATCAGGATCGGGTGCATATAAATTTTCGTAAATATTTTCAGCACTTCCTTTACTCTCATAACCATCGGCATCTTTATTTGGGTCATTTGGGTGGTCGCTGTCCGTAAGCCGCAGAACAATGCGAGCGCATTTGGGAGGTGATGGTATTGGAGTTTTTGGAGGAGGAGGGATGGAGGAAGTCGATCGTTGAGAGTTTGAAGCCTTGAGTTTCGTTGAGGATGGCTTCCGGCTGACAGATTCCGATTCTACTGTGCATACCGACGTGTCAGATAGTTTACGAGAATGTGAAGTTCTTACACTAGACGTCGGAGATCCGGTTATGGGGCTCTCTGTGCTGCTCTCGCTGATAGCGACACTTGGCTCTTTGGTTGTATCTTGTAGCAAAGATGATTTGTCAGACGAGTTTTTAGTTTTCTTTTTCTCCTTAGACCTCCCTCGGCTTTTGAAATTGAACAAGCCATAGCCATCATCTTTCTTTTCGGATGAATCGGGTTTGATTTTCTTGGAATCAAGCGGAGGGCTAATATCGCCTAGCTCACCTGCGCCTACACCACATTCTGTGGAGTTGGACTGCAATGCGATGTTCTCTGCATTAGGTTGATCATCGATAATAGCCTCTGCTGTGGTCTCTTCAAGAATCTGCACATCCACTGGGGTGAGTCCTTTGAATTTTTTGCGTTCTTGACTTTTTTCGCGCATTTTTTTAAATATCCAACTTTCATAAATTTTGCTATCTTTCTCCTTCTTTGGCTTCGTCCCGGTTTCTTTTTCATCTTTTACGTCATTTCTAGTCTCAATCGTCGTCGCATTCATCGTACTTTCGATGGTCTCCGCTAGTAACTTCTCCTCCGGCCTTTCTTTAGATTTGCTGCGCTTGAACCATCCCTCTTTCTCAGACAATTTATTCTCACGTCCATTTTCCTTCTTAAGGGAATCCTTTTCTTTTGTTTTTCGCACGGTATTCTTAACCACGGCTTTTAGGATAGAAGAATAAATCTTGTTTTCGTTGTCAGGTTCTTTGGGTAAACTTTGGGATTCTTTGTGAGATTCTTCACGTAAATTGGCTTCACTAGGTGACTGAATTTCCTTCTCTAGATCTAAAGTAGTGTCTTTCGATTCCTCAGCAGTCACCAAGGCACATTCTTCGAATTTTTTTTCGGCAAGTGCCTTGACAGTTTCAGTTCCAGCATTGCAGCTGCTACTTCGATCAATGTCGCTGTCTTCCGAGATGCTGCTACCAAGCACATCCAACGATTCTCGGTTTCCAGTGATAAGAACTTTCGGTAATTCGGTGTCTTGCGAAGAACACTCTGTCCCCTCATCACAAGAAAGATCAAAAGCTCCAAAAATTCCAATGGCTTTCAGCTCCTCAAAAACAACATCAACCGTCTTTACAACAAGTTTTGGAAAAATTTCATCCGTTGAGATCCCAGAGTCAAATGACTCACTCTTTTGATGACATAGACTGACTTCTGGAGCCTCACAATCCACTGATGAAGGATCAAAATTACTTCTAGAATTATGTTGTTGAGTACAATTTAGGACGTGTTTTGCAGATGAGCAATCAACTGATGGATCGAAATCGGTAACGTCATTTTTATTTTTTGCTTCAAGATTCACAGGATTTGATTGAGCATCTTCGGTTATGCTATATAGATTATTGGAGACTGGAGCAGCGAGATTCTGGCATAAAGCATCGAACATATTATTAATATCAACAACTGCAGCTGCACTTCCTTCATCTGGCGTTGCCTCCTCATGCTCAGTATCAGACTCGTCAGTTTCGCCTTTAAATTTACCAGAAGACAAAGCAGTTTCAATTTTTGCACATACTTTTTCCTCATCAGTTTTATTATCACCAGGAACACGTCCTATAGATGGGACTTTTTTGATATTGACTACCATAGGACGTCGAGATCTCGCAGTGCGACAATTTGATGACGAATCAGCATCTTGAGACAAGCCAGCGCAATTGCTAGCTTCAGAATCGTTCTGATTTCGACCTTCTCCTTGCGTCGTTTCGAGAGATTGAACTCGAGCGGTCCGCTTATTTTTCTGATTTTTAGTGCGGTATTTGCGTTTAAAACTGGCCCTAGGACTATGATAAACGCGACCCAGCTTACCATCTCTCAATGATACATGACCAAGTGGAATCTGAGTTTGTACTACACCGGAAGAACCACCTCCTTGGTTTTGAGATATTAAGGAATTGAACTTATTCGTTAGACTTTCCACAGTGCGGGGTTGAATTGTCACACTTAAACGGTACTCTTCCTTTCCCCCACTTTTGGAATCTCGTCTTCTCAATTTTACACCAGGTGTTTTGCTGGCGTTTTCAGCCTCTGCAGATTGAAAACTCTGCGCCACATTCTTAACAATTTTAGGCTTTACAGAATGAGTAAAACTGCCTTTTCTGATCACTTTTGAAGCTTTGAAGCTATCTACTTTCTTCACAACCCCTCCGAGTCTTTTTTCGGCATCTTTACGCGTTTTCCAGGCACCTTGGCCGATCTTTTTGGCAACAGGACCTTTTTCTCCGCATCCCCGGAAGGAAATTTTTCTGTAGTCTAATGAAAGACTATCAAGATTTTGGGGGGTTTCAAGAGGCCCATTTTTCTTTTTGTTAACTATGGCATATTCCGGAAAATATTGTAACAGTTCAGGAGACTTCAAGCAGAAGCGATGATCTCGATATTTCTTTTGCGATTCAAGCGACGACAGTCGGTCGTCAATGGCAACTTCATTGGGAGGAGATGTAGATGTTGACGACATTCCCGATGACGTTTTAGCTCTCTTAACTTCAGACTTCTTTTTCGAAGTTGACTTTCTTATTGATCTCCTTGAGAATTTTCCAGCTTCCTTCCACCTGGTGTCGGGAAGTGCCACTGGAACTCTCTCGCTATTTCCAGTAACCGAAATGTTTAAGCTGGTTTTCATGTTATTGCTAGAGATCAAAGTTATCGAATCGATGCTCAGATGCGGTCTGAGAATCCCAGAATCTTCTTCTACGTGAAAAATAGGTTCAGCTGTTTTTTCTCTGATGGCATAAATCTCACCATCATTGTAAATGAGTTTGAGTTCATCGTAGAGATCTTTGCTGTCATAATCGACATCTTTCAGATCACTGCATGACTTGCTAGCAAATTCAACGGATTCGTATGAAAAATTGTTTGCTTGATTTACGTGTCGTGATAGACTGTCAAGCGTAGAATATTTTTTCATGCAAGTCGATGACTTGGAAGGATGTTCCAACGTTTTTGATTTATTCATGTTCCTCGCATTGCAAGCTTCAGCGCCTATGTATTTTTGAGCACTTGAATGCTTCTGGTATTTGGCTATTCTTGACTTAACTAATGAATACTTCTTAGTGTCATTCTTACTATTTAACTTTGGACTTACTACACTTTTCTTCGTGATGCTTTCGGTTGCGTCGTTAACTTTTTCTTCTCGCTTGTGACTTGACTCACCGTTTGACTTTTTATCCTCACACAGAGAAGAATCGATGTGGCATACGACTTTCGTTTCATCCGAGGTGCCCTCAGATGATGAACCTCCTGTTGAATCGTCCTTTTCTTCGTCTTTCTTTTCTGGTTCATCTTCGTTTTCATCGCTGGGCAATAACTTGGCTTCTCCTTTAAGTTTCTTTCGTTTGCTTTTGTCGGGAGATTTCGATGCTTTGTTGCCGAAACCAAAAGTCGAGTAGAATGGAATTAAACTTCGCTTGGTTTTCTGTTTATGCATTTTTTCATCGAACTCCGCCTTGCTGGCTGCTTTATTTTCGCCGCCTGAGCTACTGAGTCCCAATGCCGTTCCGCCGTGATCATTTTCATGGGAAAGCGAACCATTGTTATTGGATTTCTGTGGATCATGATTAAGAATAGGCGAATCGGCGCTGACAGAGGCCTCTTCAGTCACCGGCGAACAGGACCCTACAGATGACATTGGTGCCAAAGATGATAAATTTTAAAGTCAAGGCCGAATTGCTGGTTTATTTCTCAAGACTTTTAATTCGCAGTCACTTTTCACTTATCCATTGTCTCTTCCAGTTGCCTTGTGAAGACTATGCCGTAACACGTCAGAAGTGTCAGCCAACATTGTAGAAGCAGTTGGCCGGTCAATGATGGAGATACTAGGCATTACATAACGTTTATAATACTGCAGATATATTTTAGAAGAAAATTAACAAGACCTTGTCTTCGTACTAAAAACGCAAACTAAAATCACGATTTTCTATACTGTGGATTGATGTGTTTTAAGAAACGATTGAAATAGAATGATAATCGCTAAATAATTATGGTTTAATTATTTAATTTAAATTAATTTTCATGTTCAATTTTCAAATTAAAGTGAAAAACTTTAATTGATAAATAGGTTAAAATAAGTGTAACTAAATATTTATGTTCACGAAATAAGGTGTTACGAATGAACGAAGACGTAGTTTTGCAAATTTGTCAACTCCGAAGCAACGAAGCAAGGACAAGTTACGTCAGGTGCCTTGCTGGGCTCTTCCGTCTTATGACAAGTTTGCTAAAAACGCGTGACTGAAAACTTGCCAGTCCGAGAAACTTTTAAAGTTTTCCTGTAAGGAAGCCCCCTCCAAAGTCGAAGTTGAGTTCTTACTGGCTTCGAGTGTAGATTTATGGCAGACAGTTTATGCCTATTTTGAAGGTCAAAGAAAAACTTTTTCCAGTTACGGCCGTCGTGAATGGATCGTGTGCGAGGTGTTCTGAAGAAAGTCGTCTGGGATCCGTGTTTGCTTTGTCTCGCAATGAATTACGCGAAATGTGTGCGCAATAAATACTGACAAATGCAGTAAATATGCACTATATGAGGCTTGGGAAGATTGGGCGCCAAGAGGTCATCGTCGTAGCTAAGGTCTTAGGGCAACTGATGGACATGCATGCGAGTCCCGTGAGTCGAGGCATCCGCGCTGCGTGACGAAGGCGTAGCCAGGTTATCACGCCCACGGCGCCGACACGGATGCCTGCAATAAACAATGAATTTTAGAATTTCTTCGAATTCCCGAGAGTAGGAAAATGGTGGGTGGGTGCAAGGCATGTCCCCTGAGCACGAAAGTTCTGAGTGGAAGATTTACTTGGGAAATACCAATGAACAGCCAGCGTATAGAAATCGCTGTCTCGCTGTATATCAAATCAAATGAAACACTCGAAGTATAAAAACGCTTAAAAATACATCGTGTCTGTCAGACAATTGTGGAGATTTAAAATTTCGCTATTTCACTCATTTTTGTCGAATTGAACAGTAATTCAATTGACAGCCGAATCATGAGGCAAAACAACATGTAAAACATCTTGAAAAATCGCAGTCGTTTTAACACAACTCGTATTGAGTGATCTTCAATATATTCGGCAGGCTTAACCTGAGAGGATTGCTTACAAAACACGCGGGCGCCAACAGGTTAGCACAACAGTCAGATGGCTGGCGGTTCTCCACCTGCAAGTTCATAACCCAGGCTGAACATGAACATGCGTTCATTGTCTTTGCTCACTTCTTTGTCTTTACATATCTCTGTATTTGAGAATTGATTTTTTATCTATAGATCCTCAATCTATCGACATTCGCTCGTTTCAACTTCGGTCTTTCGAGCGATTTTTTGGACCTCCGATATCCTGATCTTCATCGCGTCGTACGTGGAATGCTTCATCATCCACTGTTGATATCTCAGTCATAATGTTTCCGGAACCGTAATTCTTTAAATAAATCTCAAAGTCTGAACTTTTTTAATAACGTCTGCTAGTATGTTTGCCAGCTAGCACGGGGACCAGCTATTCGACTGCAAAACTCAGCCTTCGGGCAGACCAATTCATAAAATAAAGTAAAGTAAAATATAAGCAGAACTGAGGTATAGTCTATACGCTTAGGATTCGAACGTACGTCAATAATGAACAAACTTTTCTACAAACAATATAATATGATTAGACTTGAGCAGCTTGTCTTTACCAACAATGAAATGTTCGACTATTGATATCCCCCACAATATGTCAATAACATGTTTAACGCCTGAGTTATGAATTCATGTCACAGAAATGGCCTCAACAACAAATTTCACGCTAAATTTTAATCTGAAGTCCTTAGGTGCTGTGATTTACAGGTTTAACGGCACATTTATGACATGAAGTCCCCAACATGATGACAACAACAAGTGTAACGCCACATTTATGATCTCAAGTTCCCCACCTGATGGCAACAACAAGCGTAACGCCACATTTATGATCTCAAGTTCCCCACCTGATGGCAACAACAAGTGTAACGCCAAATTTATGATCTCAAGTTCCCCACATGATGGCAACAACAAGTGTAACGCCACATTTATGATCTCAAGTTCCCCACCTGATGACAACAAGTGTAACGCCACATTTATGATCTCAAGTTCCCCACATGATGACAACAAGTGTAACGCCACATTTAAGAACTCAAGTCCTCACTATAAATTACAGGTTATCTACACGAACGAAGCCAGCGAGCACAAAGCCCGATTCGCAGCAGTTACTACAGGCTGGTTCTTGGTCGGCCGGAATTAATACGGCAATAATTTTGACCAGTAGTTTGGGTTGCATCGTAGTCGTCGAGCGAGCCGCACCTTGGTGAGAGAAGGGGAGAGGTGGTGGCCTTATACGTCAATGAATGGCCAATGAATGAGATGACTTTGTTGGGAGAGAGAGAAGGCAAAGGGATAAGGGGGAGGTAGAAATATAGGCGAAGTGAGAGTATGTGAACAGTAACTAAGAGGAGAGAGTAGGAGTAGTAATTAACTGAAATAGTGAGTGTGCGAAAATGGCAACGTGTGAAAGTGTTAATTGATAGAAGAAAATGAAAGTTGGAAATTGAAATAGGTCGATTTTGTCAGTAAAATTAATAACAACTTCTTATCCTTAATTCCTAATGATGGTCTTGCGTTCATGTCGGAATGATCGTAAGTCTGAAAAACTAAGACTCAGCGTTAATTTCAGACTTTTTTTTCTTTGCCAGTGACAGCCGTGCTGTTTTTTTTTTTGCCAGTGACAGCCGTGCTGTCTGTTATGATCACCGCAGAACCTTCGTTCACTGTTAAACTTGCGGTCGTCGCAGTAACTTCACAACTTACGGGCAACACAGAATTTGTGGTCATCGTATAATGTACGGACATCATAGGACTTGCGATGACCGAAAATCTTTGATGACCACTCACCGTAGAACGATGCTCGTCATTCTACGCGCGTGTAAGCGATTAAGTTAGCCGTGACCCTAACAAAAAAATAGCAACCACCATGATTTTGCGCTCGATACGCTACGCGTGGGGCGAGACGGCGCAGGTTTTTGCGCCCCACGTACATGCGCACTCACGAGCATGGTGTCCGTCACATACGGTGTGCATCAACACATACGGTATGCATCAAAACAAACGGAATACATTAACACATACGGAATGCATCAAAACATACGAAATGCTTCAACATCCGGTATGCAGCAGCACACACAGTATATGCCTCAGCACGCGCGCTATGCATCAACATATACGGTATGCATCAGCACGTGCGGTGCTCATCAGCACGCGCGGTGCGCATCAGCACACGCGTTACGCATCAGCACGTGCGGTGCTCATCAGCACGTGCGGTGCTCATCAGCACACGCGTTACGCATCAGCACGTGCGGTGCGCATCAGCACACGCGTTACGCATCAGCACGTGCGGTGCGCATCAGCACGTGCGGTGCGCATCAGCACACGCGTTACGCATCAGCACGTGCGGTGCGCATCAGCACACGCGTTACGCATCAGCACGTGCGGTGCGCATCAGCACACGCGTTACGCATCAGCACGCGCGGTGCGCATCAGCACGTGCGGTGCGCATCAGCACACGCGTTACGCATCAGCACGTGCGGTGCGCATCAGCACACGCGTTACGCATCAGCACGTGCGGTGCGCATCAGCACACGCGTTACGCATCAGCACGCGCGGTGCGCATCAGCACACGCGTTACGCATCAGCACGCGCGGTGCGCATCAGCACACGCGTTACGCATCAGCACGCGCGGTGCGCATCAGCACGTGCGGTGCGCATCAGCACACGCGTTACGCATCAACACGCGCGTTACGCATCAGCACGCGCAGTGCGCATCAACACGCGCGTTACGCATCAGCACGCGCAGTGCGCATCAACACGCGCGTTACGCATCAGCAAGCGCGGTGCTCCTCAGCACGCGCGTTACGCATCAGCACGCGCGTTACGCATCAGCAAGCGCGGTGCTCCTCAGCACGCGCGTTACGCATCAGCACGCGCAGTGCGCATCAACACGCGCGTTACGCATCAGCACGCGCAGTGCGCATCAACACGCGCGTTACGCATCAGCACGCGCAGTGCGCATCAACACGCGCGTTACGCATCAGTACACGCAATACTCGCATTAGCATGAGCATCACGCGCGCTGTACGTGGTATGCGCTGTAAAATTTAACGTCGCGTTCCTAACGTCCTTGCGATATGAGAAGGACGATCGAAGACGATCAACAATTGGAGCCCAAATTCGCGAAGTAGCTTGATGAATGAGAAATAATGCAATTGTATCGCTCCTATAAGCCATAATAATTTTAGCCATATCAAAATTTGATTAAAACTACGTAATCATAAGGGTTAACATATTAATAATTATATCTGAAATGTCATTGAATAGTAAGGATGATAGGAAATTAAATCTTAGTGTACAAAATATATCTTAAATACCAAGTAATATAAATGCCATTGGCAAGCTACTTCAGAGAGACGACTGCATCCATGAATGAATAAGAGGTATAAAAAACTCGATATTCTACTACATCGCAACATTTTTTTGCACCATTTCTTATACATAACGTTATCACATGATAATAAAGAAATATGCAACATGCTCCACAATGCATTAAATTTTATTAAATTGCAAGATGAGAAGATGCTTCCGATAAATTGCTTCAACTGATGCCTTTTTCCGTCAGGGTTTTAACTAAAAAGTCTCACGAGAGTTCTCAGTAATAATTCAGATTTTAAAAAACTCTAGGATTATTTAAAATTTCTAAAAACAGATATTACAGTGACTTTTTTTAGTCTATCTCAATGAAGAAAAGTCCGATGCTCAACCAAACTTCAGAAATTATAAAATGAAACACAAGATTTAGATATAAATTTGAACATTGCAAGAGACGCGACGGAACAGGTCAAGGTCAAATAAGGTCACAAAACCCTAACAAGCCTATTCACTGGGAACATGTTTGCGGAAGTTAAAAATTTTTAGGTTCATTACAAGATGGAGAATTTTCCAGA